ACAAATTTTTATTTTTATTTTTATTTTTTTACTGCTCCTATGGAGTAGGACTACCCCATAGGCTGAGAATAGCCAAATTGTACACTTAAAATAGGTGCAGTTTATGTCCACTATACCTCAATAAAGATATAATTTTAAAAACCCAGGCCAGGTGCAGTGGCTCACGCCTGTAATCCCAGCACTTTGGGAGGCCAAGGTGGGTGGATCACTTGAGGTCAGGAGTTCGAGACCAGCCTGGCCAATATGGTGAAACCCCGTTTCTACTAAAAATATAAAAATTTAGGCCGGGCTCGGTGGCTCAAACCTGTAATGCCAACACTTTGGGAGGCCAAGGCAGGTGGATCACCTTAGGCTAGGAGTTCAAGACCAGCCTGGCCAACATGGTGAAACCCCGTCTCTACTAAAAATATAAAAATTAGCTGGGCGTGGTGGTAGGCGCCTGTAATCCCAGCTACTCAGGAGGCTGAGGCAGGAGAATCACTTGAACTCGGGAGGCAGAGGTTGCAGTGGGCCGAGATCACACTACTACACTCCAGCCCGGGCAACAGAGTGAGACTCTGTCTCAAAAAATCAAAACAAAACAAAAAATTAGCTGGGTGTGGTGGTGCATATAATCGCTACTTGGGAGGCTGAGGAAGAAGAATTGCTTGAACCAGGAGGCAGAGGTTGCAGTGAGGCGAGAGATCGCCACCACTGCACTCCAGCCTACAAGACAGAATAAGACTCAGACTCGGAAAAAAAAAAAAATAGTGTACACATGCACAGAGGGATGCTGAAAATGGGGGGTTTTGGATCATATTTAATTTATTTTCTATACTTTTCTCTGTATTTTTTTATGGTAAGAATACATTGTTTTGTTTTTTTGAGAGATGGAGTCTCTCTGTGTCGCCTAGGCTGGAGTGCAGTGGCACCATCTTGGCTCACTGCAACCTCCACCTCCCAGGTTCAAGTGATTCTCCTGCCTCAGATTCCCGAGTAGCTGGGACTACAGGCGTGTGCCACTACTCCCGGCTAATTTTTTATTTTTAGTAGAGACAGGGTTTCACTATGTGTTGGTCAGGCTGGTCTTGAACTCCTGACCTCAGGTGATCCACCCGCCTCGGCCTTCCAAAGTGTTGGGATTACAGGCGTGAGCCACTGCACCTGGCCCCATACATTGTTTTTATAATAGTAATAAAATTAAGCTATCTTCATTGTGAAACTGTAATACATGTTCCCTTGACAAGGGCCTGAAGAATGTAGAGGTCACAGCCAAAGTCAGATGACTAAAGAAGTGACAAAATGAGGCACTGTTACTCCTCCAGTAACTGGTCTCAAATCAGCATTCTGCTGTCAGCATCTGGGAGCAAAACCAGACAGTTCTCCAGACTGCCATACCCTTCCTTTGCTCCAACCTAGCTCCCTGCAACTGCAAGTCACGAAATTCAATGCCTAGACCAATCTTCATTACAGTGTAAAGAAAGCTTACACTGTAAAGAAAGTTACATGCATGTCATAAGGTGATGCAAAAAAAAAAAAAAAATCTCAGTCTGGCACAAGTTCAAAGCACTTGTCATTACCCTGTTAGTCAGGAAGATCTTCCCCTAGAATACCCTACAGCTTCTTCCCATCTCCAGGCATAAGCTAAATTCCTCTATTCCCATGTCCTAGACTCCTGGAGAAAACAAGAAAACAAATTTCTTCCTGTCTGAGCTCTGGATTCTGACTTCAACTTCATGCTGCCTTATTGGCGGTCACCTGCCTCTTTAGCTAGGCAGGAAGCCTACCCTTCTCTGTCCACGGCACTCCTCTGACTGCCTTTCTGGGGGCTGCTGGCACTTGTTCCTTGAACACCCATCTCACACCTTGAATTCCAGTCTCCCACACCTGTCTAACCTGGCCTTTTCTGGTGGGCTGGTCTCCAAATCCCTCCACTTAAGAGACCTCCTCCTGGGTTCCCCCCATCTCTACCTTTAAACCAGAGTTAGAAAAATAGTGGGCTGAAGCAGAATTCAGCTGAGATGTGTGTTTAATTTTATTCAGTGCCAATATTAAGAAGTTCTAGAGGCCCGGCACAGTGGCTTAGCCCTGTAATCCCAAGCAGTTTGGGAAGACAAGACAGAAGGATTGCTTGAGGCCAGGAGTTTGAGACCAGCCTGGGCAAAGCAGAGAGACCACATCTCTAAAAATTAGCCAGGCATGGTGGTGCGCACCTGTAGTCCCAGCTACATGGGAGGCTGAAGCTGGAGGACTCCTTGAGTCAGGGAGGTGGAGGCTGCAGTGAGCTATGGTTGTGCCACTGCACTCCAGCCTGGGTGACAGAATGAGACTCAAAAAATAAAAAAAAATAATAAAATAATGAAGTTCCGGAGACTGGTTACACAATTTACCTAATGCCATTGAACTGTGCACTTAAAAATGGTTATGAAAGTAAATTTCGGGCTGGGCGCGGTGGCTCAAGCCTGTAATCCCAGCACTTTGGGAGGCCGAGACGGGCGGATCACGAGGTCAGGAGATCAAGACCATCCTGGCTAACACAGTGAAACCCCGTCTCTACTAAAAATACAAAAAACTAGCCGGCGAGGTAGCGGGCGCCTGTAGTCCCAGCTACACGGGAGGCTGAGGCAGGAGAATGGCGTAAACCCCCGGGAGGCGGAGCTTGCAGTGAGCCCGAGATCCAGCCACTGCACTCCAGCCTGGGCGACAGAGCGAGACTCCGTCTCAAAAAAAAAAAAAAAAAAAAAAGAAAGTAAATTTCATGTTATATATATTTTATCATTTTTTTAAAAAGTTTAAATGGCTAAGGTGATAAATTTTTAATGTTACATGTATGTTACAATTTTTTTTTTTTTTTTTTTTTTTTTTTGAGACGGAGTCTTGCTCTGTCGCCCCAGGCTGGAGTGCAGTGGCCAGATCTCAGCTCACTGCAAGCTCCACCTCCGGGTTCACGCCATTTCTCCTGCCTCAGCCCTCTGGAGTAGCTGGGACTACAGGCACCCGCCACCTCGCCGGCTAGTTTTTGTATTTTTTTAGTAGAGACGGGGTTTCACCGTGTTAGCCAGGATGGTCTCGATCTCCTGACCTCGTGATCCGCCCGTCTCGGCTCCCAAAGTGCCGGGATTACAGGCTTGAGCCACCGCACCCCGGCCTTATTTTACAATTTTTTTTAAAAACTCAAGATATTTGAAATTTAAAAAATGAGGATTTGTGGCTTTGTTTGAAAAAAATCACATCTGATAGCACAAGACCTACCATTTTGCACAACGGTCATCTCTAGTTTACCCCTGACGCTACCACCATACATTCTTTTTTTTTTCTCCACTCTGTTTGGGCTTCTGGAGCCATATAAGTTTGTGACTCTGCTTAAACCCAGTGTCACTTTTTCACGCACAGCCGTCCAACGTTAGCCACCAGCTGGGCTGGCTAAAGGTCTTAGAGGGGATGACACACTCACCTCTCAGCAACGATGAGAAACTGACACAACAAAGACTATCCCCAAGAACTCTATGCCAACCTCACCCAATCACACTACGTCTTTCCCTCTTTTCTCTCCATTTCCCTATATTGCTCCTCCTTGCTCATCCATGGAGTCTTCTCTATTGATTCCAATTCACAAGGGGTTCTTCCTTCTTTTCACATTCTGTAGCACTTGGCATCTGTATTGTTAATTACTCGTATGTATACATCCTATCTGCTCAATTACACTTCAAGTCCCTCATTCATTCAACAAATATAAAGCAGCTACTCTAGGCCAGACTGTTTCCGGGCACCGGGAATAGAGTGGTGAACCAGACAGGCAAGGTCCCTGCCATCAGTGGGCAAACACATACAAATAAGCATCAATCTCGACACTGGCCAACGCTTGGGGAAACGTGAAGCAGGGTAATGATACCGGAATGACGGTGGAGAGTGGGATCTACGTTATGAGTAACGACCACCAGTGAAAGCCTCTTGCAGAGGTAGAATCAGCAAAGACCTGCATGAGAAGACGCCAGCCATGAGAAGACCATGGGGAAAAGCACTCCAGTCAATGGGAACAGCAATTACAGAGACTGGGTTTCAGGGAAATAGAAACAACTGGTGTGGCTACGCATAGGAATGAGAAAAGACAGTGGTGTAAGATGAGGTCCAATGTGGTAGAAGGAGCTTCAATTCTTTTTTTTTTTCTGAGATGGAGTCTCACTCTGTTGCCCAGGTGGAGTGGCAGTGGTGCGATCTCGCTCACTGCAACCTTCGCCTCCCGGGTTCAAAGCGATTCTCCTGCCTCAGCCTGCCGAGTAGGTGGGACTACAGGCGCGCCGCACCACATCCCAGCAAATTTTTTGTATTTTTTAGTAGAGACGGGGTTTCACAGTGTTGGCCAGGATGGTCTAGATCTCTTGAACCTCGTGGTCAGCCCACCTTGGCCTCCCAAAGTGCTGGGATTACAGGAGTGAGGCCACCCTGCGCCCAGCCCAGAAGGGGGCTTCAATTCTATGGATGATCAGTAGTCCTAATCTTCTAGTATTTTAGGGCAGGCATTAGAAATATATACCATCACCATTTACGTATTTGAAAATGCCCACAGTTACTTTTGGATCCCATCACTCTTCCTGACAATTTACTGGGGTGACATCCAAATATCCTTGTTTCATTCCTTCAATAAACACTCCTTATTTTTATTTTATTTTTACCATTTTTTTTTTTGAGATGGGAGTTTCACTCTTGTTGCCCCAGGCTGGAGCGTAATGTGCGCAACTTGGCTACTGCAACCTCACCTCCCAAGGTTCAACGATTCCGCTGCCTCAGCCTCCCTGAGTAAGCTGGGATTACCAGGCACCTGCTACCGCCCAGCTAATTTTTGTATTTTTAGTAGAGATCAGGGTTTCAGCATGTTGCCCCAGGCTCAGCTGGTCTCAAACTCCAGACCTCAGGTGATCCGCCCGCCTCGGCCTCCCAAAGTGCTGGGATTGACAGGCGTGAACCACCGTGCCCGGCCAGCAAACACTTCTTTAGCACGACCTGGCATGGGAACTGCTCACCCCTTTGATGAAGGTGGTTTGTCCTTGATGCCAAATTCCAGAGCATGATATCTCCCCTTTGGAACCACAGCCACAGTGCTGGGGGTGAGTCGGGTGCCACGCCAAGGATGTAGCCCTCCTGTCAAAGGGGGCAGCCTTTTTGTAATATCCGGTAAGAATTCCAGAGTGTGCAAAAAGGACTGCTGGAGCCCTGCCACAGAGAGAAATGAATTAGGTTGAATTAAAACCCAAGTTCTGGGTAAAACTGCCAATCTCTGCCCTCCTTCATAGATGAGCCCTAGAGCCAAGTCCTCCACCAAAGGAAAGCTAACCGCCTGCCCCTGCATGAAAATATTTTGCAATGTACATGAACTAATAATCTGGGAAAAGCAAAAGGGGCAGAGTGGCATTCCAGCTGGGACTTTACAACATAAGACTTTTTTTAGATGGCTGAGTGCCCAGTAGGCCAGTCACCACAGTCTGGGTGATCGACCACTCCTGACAAGCTGGTGAACCAAGCCCATCATCTAATTTTGGGAGCATGGCAATAGTAAAAATGCACGTGCAAACCCTTGAGGACTTGAGGCAAAAAATGCCTTACCTGCTGGACAGATGGCCAGGAAGCTCTGCCCAGCTTATGCTGGTGGAGGGTCCTGACGATGCTGTGGCATGGCGGCAGGATCTGTGGGCCAGCCAGCCCCGCCCAGAGGCAGTCTGAGTCACCTCTTCTGCTAGGACCTGCCAAGCAGAACAGACATATTTTCCTCTCCAATCTCACGAAAGGTTTTTCTGCTGAATTCCCTGAAAGGAAGCCTTGTTTCATTCGGCATGGCTAATCTCTGTCTCATCATCTCCTGAGGCCTTTCCGTGTCTGTGCGGTCTCACCCAGCACCGGAAATAAAAAAAAAATGAGTAGGGATTTGGCCCCTTCCCCAAAACACTCCCCCAAACAGTAAGACTGAAATGAAAGTAAATAATCGTGCAGGGTTCCTGAGACCCCAGCCAAAGAAACACACAAGAATAAAGTACACTGCAGAACTCTTCCCAGTTTGGGCTGCAAAACGAGATGGGACAGGGTCACAATTTTATAAATCACATATAATGCACAATAAAAATATTTTAGGGGAGCATGGCAGAAGTCACCGTTTAGGAAAAGAAGGAATAGGAAGGCCTGGAAATGCTCTTAACTAGGTTACTTCTGGGGAGGTGAGTGAAATTAGAATAGCAATAAAGCAACAACTCCGGATCACCAAACTTGCATTTGAGGACCCAATCACTATAGGTCCGACGTCCTGACAACCAATTCTTTCTTCACATGGACAAAACCCACTTGATTAACAAGCCCCAGCTCCAGTTTTTGAGTGTCTCGAAACTCCTTATAGCCCCAGGTTCAAGCCCCAGTAAACCTCAGAGAATGAGCTTTCTAAGGAGGGAAGGAATTGGGGGCTCTCACAACTGACCACCTAGCACGTGCAGCTAACAAGCGTGACTATGAAATCCAGCACATACAGTGCCAGGAAAGGTAGATTCTCTGAAGCCGTCCAAACTGTGCAAGAACCCTGCTACAAACAAGGAATCTGACAAGTCCGTGTGTCTGTTGATACGGAGCTTGTCTGCTTCCTGTCACCTGGCGGGAGAGGTGTTGAAGCCTAAACGTTCTGGTGTCAAAGAACCTGCAGGTAGAATGCACAGCCGGAGGCATCCGTGACCTGCGCCGGCCTCGGGAGCCTCGGAGCACCCATCCCCCGCTGCAGCCTCCTGCGCGAGCACCCCTAAAGGCGGAAATATTCAAGCAGCAGGCACAGGCAGTACCGGAGCCCTTCGCACAGAGCTTCTTGGCCTCGGGCTCCAGCTCCCGGGGACTCCTGCTCCTCTTGTTCCTGGGGCGTAATACAATCTCGGAGGTCTTCTGGGTTTCTGGGCGTTTCTTGGGAGCCATCGCGTCCTCCGTGCGAAGGGGTACTGTGCTCTATGCGAAGATCATGGAGGGAGGATTGAGAGACCTCTGGGGAGAAACAAGGCGGGGACTACAAAACTGCGGGGCCACAGGTAGCCGACTAAGCCAACTTCCCGCCAAACATGCCCAGGGCTTGTTCAAACCAGCTCCGAGCTCCGGCCCCACCCGTCTAGGAGACCCCGCCCCTTCCTGGAAGGAGGGGGCGCGGGGAGGGGGCGGTGCCAGCGCTCTCGGGAGGGGCGGGAACTGCGCCAGGGCCTGTGCCAGCCCGGGTCAGCTGACCTGCCCGGAGCAAAGATGGCCCCCGGCTTTATGTTTTATTTTTTCAGCCACAGGGTCTGGCTCTGTCGCCCACGCTGGAGAGCAGTGGCGCGATGATAGGTCAGTGCAGCCTCCACCTCCTGGGCTCAAGCGATCCTCCCACCTCAGCCTCCTAAGTAGATGGGACTACAAGCGTGCGCCACCCCGCCCGGCTAATTTATCTCTCGCTCTCTTTTTCTTTTTTTTTTCTTTTTCTGGAGAGACGGGGTCTCGCTATGTTGTCCAGGCCGGTCTTGAACTCATGGGCTTAAGTGATCATCCAGCCTTAGCCTCCCGACACGAACCCTCCTCAGACGAGGCGCTGCCAGGCCTCTGCGGGTCCGGGGAGGAGGCCTGGTACCAGCCAAGGCCCTGGCTCCCGCCTTGCAACTGGTGATGACTCCCGCTCGGGCTTTGGGATTGGCTGGTAGCTACAGGCTGTAGTTGGGGCGTGGCGGCTTTGTAGAGAGCTAGTGCCTTTCCTAAGTTAGAAGCTGCGCTGTACCAGCGGTCAGCTTTGCAGTCGGAATCCAGAAACTACAGCCCCATCGAATCCAAGCTGCTTCTCTGTGAAGGGAGAATGATTGGAACGCCTTGCCTTTTTTTTTTTCTTTTTTTTTTTTTTTTTTTTGAGACGGAGTCTCGCTCTGCCGCCCAGGCTGGAGTGCAGTGGCCGGATCTCAGCTCACTGCAAGCTCCGCCTCCCGGGTTCACGCCATTCTCCTGCCTCAGCCTCCCGAGTAGCTGGGATTACAGGCGCCCGCCACCTCGCCCGGCTAGTTTTTTGTATTTTTTTTTTTTTTAGTAGAGACGGGGTTTCACCGTGTCAGCCAGGATGGGCCTTTTTTTTTTTTTTTCTAGAGACGTCGTCTGTCTTCTGTTACCCAGGCTGGAGTGCAGTGATGTAGTCACTCAAGCTTCACTGACCCTCCCACCTCAGCCTCCCAAGTAGGCTTGCAGACCTGCGTCCTCAAGCTTGACTAATTTTTGTATTTTTGTAGAGACAAGGTCTTGCTATGTTTCCCATGTTGGTCTGGACCTCCTGGGCTCATGTGATCCTCCCACCTCGGCCTCCCAAAGTGCTGGGATTCTAGGCATGAACCACTATGTCTGACCCTCACTGCTTTTTTGTTTGTTTGGTGGTTGGCCGGTTTTTTTTTTTTTTTTTTTTTTTTTTTTAAGACAGGACCTCTCTGTCACCCAGGCTGGAGTGCAGTGGCAGGACGTGGGCTCACTGCAGCCTCGACTTCCTGGGCATCGATCCTCCCACTTCAGCCTCCCGAGTAGCTGGGACTATAGGTGCGTGCCACAACACCCAGCTAGTTTTTGCATTTTTTGTAGATACAGGGTCTTCCTATGTTGCCTAGGCTGGTCTAGAACTCCTGGCATCCATCCATCTCGGTCTGTCAAACTGCTGAGATTACAGGTGTGAGCCACCGTGCCCAGCCTCCTCACTGATTCTTTTTTTTTTTTTTTTTTGAGACAGAGTCTTGCTCTGTCACCCAAGCTGGAGTGCAGTGGCACAATCTCGGCTCACTGCAGTCTCTGCCTCCCGGATTCAAGCGATTCCCCTGCCTCAACCTCCAGAGCAGCTGGGACTAGAGGCGTGCACCACCACCACACCCAGCTAATTTGTTTGTATTTTAGTAGAGACGGGGTTTCACCATGTTGGCCAGGATGGTCTCAGTCTCCTGACCTCGTGATCTGCCTGCCTCAGCCTCCCAAAGTGCTGGGATTACACCATGCCCAGCCTCTCAGCCTCTCACTGCTTTTAACTAAGACTTGCCTAACCTATTGAGTGTCCACCTAGGAGCAGCCTGGGACAGTGATGGGCCAGAGGGCATGTGGCCAGTGGGACTTAGAACTCCTACGCCCCTGGCTTTTCAGCCAAAGTCCAAGTCTTGACGAGGTGGTTCAGAGGTGAGGCCACGCTGTCCTGCCTAGCCTGCAGACAGAGACAGTTTGGATGTGCCCTAGTTTCTGCAAAGAGGTAGGCAAAGCCCTTCTGCAAAGGGGTTACTTCAGGCACTTGCTGGGCCTTTCCTCCACCCACTAAGCCCCTCTGCCTGACAGTTTGTGGGGGTGGGAGGAGATATACAAAAATACATTAATGGGTAGGGCAAATTGCGTTGGCTTCAAGCCTGTGAATCCCAGCCACTTTGGGAGCCTAAGGCAGGTGATCACTTTTAGGCCAGGAGTTCAAAGACCAGCCTGGCCAAACATGGTGAAACCCCGTCTTCTACTAAAAAATACCATCAGTGGTGATGGTTCACAGGCCAATCATACCTGTAATCCAGCGCTTTGGGAGGCCAAAGCGGGCAGATCACTTGAGGTCAGGAGTTCGAGACTAGCTGGACCAACATGGTGATAACCTCACTCTACTAAAAATACAAAATTAGCTGGGGCGTGGTGGCAGTCGCCTGTGGTCCCAGCTACTGCAGAGGCTGAGGTATGGAGAATTGCTTGAACCCAGGAGGAGGGAGGCTGCAGTGATACCAATGATCATGCCACCTAGCACTCCCAGCCTGGGTGACAGAGGGCAAGACTCCATCTCAAAAAAATAAAAATAAAAATAAATAAATACAAAAAAGTAGCTGGGCATTCATGGCACGCAACCCTGTAATTTCCAGTTATTCAGGAGGCTGAGGCAGGAGAATCACTTGAACCTGGGAGGCAGAGTTTCAGTGAGCTGAGATAGCCACCACAGCGCTCAGCCTGGGTTACAGAGTGAGACTCCATCTCAAAATAAGCAAACAATAATATAAATAATTGTTTAATGCAATTAATGGTAGATCCTGCTCTCAAGGATTTTTCAGACAGATAGGGACAGAAGATGTTACCAAATCAACTCTTGGTCCTGTTGTGGTGGCTCATGCTGGTCATCTCAGCACTTTGGAGAGGGGCACGGGAGTAGGATCACTTCAGCCCAGGAGTTGGAGACCAGGCCTCAGCAGATACCGAGTACCCCTGTCTAAAAATTAAAAATACACAACTTAGCTAGGTATGGTAGCACGCGCCTATAGTCCCCAACTACTTGGGAGGCTAAAGGTGGGAGGATCACTTATGCCCAGGAGTTTGGGACTGCAGTGAGCTAATGATTGTGCCACTGCACTCCAGCCTGGATGACAGAGGTTACCCTGTTTCTAAATAATAAATAAAAATTGGCCAGGCACGAGTGGCTTCACGCCCTGTCATTCCAGCACTTTGGGAGGCTGAGGCAGCCGGACCACCTGAGGTCGGGAGTTCGAGACCTGCCTGACCAACATGAGAAACTCCGTCTCTAGGAAAAATACCAAATTAGCAGAGCGTGGTGGCACATGCATGTAATCCCCAGCTACTCAGGAGGCTGAGGCCAGGACAATCGCTTGAACCAGGAGGTGGAGGTTGCAGTGAGCTGAGATGGTGCGATTGCCCTCCAGCCTGGGCAGAAGAGCAAAACTGTGTCTCAAAAATAAATAAATAAATAAATAAATAAATAATAATAAATAAATAAATATTGGCCGGGGCCAGTGGCTCATGCTGTAATCCCAGCACTTTGGGAGGCCAAAGGCGGGTGATCACAAGGTCGGGAGATCGAGACCATCCTGGCTAACACGGCAAGACCCCATCTCTGCTAAAAATACAAAAAAATTAGCCAGGCATGGTGGTGGGCACCTGTAGTCCCTGCTACTCGGGAGGCTGAGGCAGGAGAATGGCATGAACCCGGGAGGCGGAGCTTGCAGTGAGCCAAGATCGCACCACTGCACTCCAGCCTGGGCGGACAGAGCGAGACTCCATCTCAAATAAAATAAATAAATTAAAAATTAAATAAGCTCTTGCAATGGAATGAATGCTCCAAAACGTAAATTGGAAGGCCGTTGCAGTGGCTCACGCCTATAATCCCAACACTTTGGGAGACTGAGGTGGGTAGATCACCTGAGCCAGGAGTTTTGAGACCCCCTGGCCAACATGGTAAAACCCATCTCTACTAAAAATACAAAAAATTAGCCAGGCGTGGGGCGGTGCCTGTCTTCCCAGCTCTCAGGAGACTGAGGCATGAGAATCGCTTGAACCCAGAAGGCAGAGCTTGCAGTAAGCTGAGATCACATCACTGCACTCCAGCTTGGACGACGGAGTGAGACTCTGTCTCAAAAATAAAAAACTTTTTTAAAAAAGGAAAGGGCAGGCCAGGCACGGTGGCTCATGCCTGTAATCCCAGACTTTGGGAGGCTGAGGCAGGCGGATTACCTGAGATCAGGAGTTCAAGACCAGCCTGGCCAACATGGTGAAAACCCTTCATTTATATTACATATATTTATATAATATATATAATTTATATAATATATATAATATATATAAATTAGCTGGGCGTGGTGGCACACGCCTGTAATCCCAGCTACTTGGGGAGGCTGAGGCAGGGAGAATTGCTTGAGCCAGGAGAGGGAGGTGCAGTGAGCCAAGATCGTGCACTGCACTCCAGCCTGGCTAACAGAGCAAGACTCTGTCTAAACAAACCAAACAAACAAACAAACAAAAATAGAAATGGCTTTACCTGGGAAAGGGGCAAGCTGGGAGCTACTCCTCTGCTAGCCTAGAGCTGTGTTTTCACAGCTGTGTTGCAGAAGCAAACTGTTCTCCCCTCTCTCCTTATTCAGACCAACCAATATGCCAACTCAGACTAACCTGTCCTTCAGCAGGGTGCTCAGTTGTAGGGGATATTGAAGTGTAAGAAATGGACTTTGCCTCTAAAAGATTTACAACCTATTGGGAACAGAAGAAAAACACACGTGAAACAAGTAAAATACTTCAAGATAGGGATATATTTGAAGACTAACTATGCTATGCCAATCAAGGGTTTTTGGTTTTTGGTTTTATAGAAACAGGGTCTCACTATGTTGCCCAGACTGGCCTTGAACTCCTGGGCTCAAGCCATCTTCTAGCCTCAACTTTTCAAATTGCTTTGATTACAGGCATGACCAATTAAGGTTTTTAGATGCACGCAGGAAAGCTAATTCTATGGAGAAAGTAGTACTGTTGTAAC